TTACTTACCCACATATGTACCCAGAGAACATGGTGATCAAGGAAATGGTAAGCCAAGATGTTCCTTAAAATCGAAAAAAAAAAGACATACATTCACCACCTAAGTGAGAGTAAACGTTCAAGAACAGTCCCAACCGGGGACTATTCAAGACTTTCTCCTAATGAGAAAGCCTTGAACGGGTATCTAGGCATATAATGATGCAAGCATTTCATATATTTATTGTTGTATTTAGTTTGTCATGAAAAACTTTTATTAAAACAATAAAGAGAAAGATATATATAGCTTATTAGAGAAGTTTATAATTCATACCAATACAATGGATGTATTCTTTCTAACTTCCCACTTGAGCTAAATATGTAGTCTTCAAGCTAAACTTGAACTTCAAATCACATATGAATCTATAAAAACGCAAAAAGAAAAAACAAAACAAAAAACAAATGTTAGTAAGTATGAGAAATGGGTGATAAGAAAAGATAGGGGCATATGATTAAGGTATGAGAGAGAAAATGGGGCAACAAACCACAAAAGGTAAAACACAAAAAGGACAAATACAAGCTACATCAAACAATTTCTATATTAAGGGCAACAAATAACCAAAACTTGGCACATATTCCCCATGTGTTTCCATTTTGCTTTATTTATTTTTATTTTAATTTTATTTTACTTCTCTTCTCGGTTTCCTTGATATGTGTAGGTATGCACTTGGGTCGAGGTACGTTTTCTAATTTGAGGCCATGTTAGGAACTCCAAAGTTTGAGGTTTAATTCAAGCACTCATTTACTAAGTTGCTCCCCTACTCCCTCACTCAAACACCTACACCAAAACACTACACATCCAGCCCGCATTCCCTCAGCTCCATTGCAGCCATACTGCTCCTAATCACCGGCCACGCCAAACACCCAACACCCAAGACCATCTCCACCCTCTGCAGCCAAACAACACCTCAAACCACTACAAAAACTCACAGCAGCAACCACACATACAACAACACCAGCAACAGCCCCGGAAGCCCCCAACAACCAGCAAGCAGTAGCCCCGAAACCCCCCCCCCCAACCAGCATGCATATATATAAAATAATTGTCATATCTTACAGCATTAGCATAATTTGTTCTGTTTAAGCAACATACTCACATACACAATAAGTAACATAGCTCAAAAATCGAAACAAGAACTTACATTTCATAACCATATACAAGCTAAGTATATATGTGGAGGGTCGTTGTGGAGGGGGGCCGTGCGCGTTTAGTTGACAAACCCTATATTACAAGAAACTTACAATTACTAAAATGAAAAGCAAATCCTCAAAAAACCCATGAATGGGAAGGAATTCAATGGAGTAATTGAAACCTAGGTATACTTACCTCGAAGATGCTTCAATGGAGGAGAGATGAAGGTGGTGCGTGCGGCGGCAACTGCTCCAATGGAAGTGATAAACCTCGAACAACAATTCAATGGAGTGAGTGAAACCTAGCAATTCAACGCATGGGTGGAAGCAAAGAGAAGAGGGAAAAACGTGGGAGAAGCAACGAATTGAAGAAGCTGAGAAAGACGTTAGAACGAATTTGGATATACCCGGGTTTTTTTTTTAAATGGCACCGGTTCAAACCGGAGCTAATTGCAATAATTAGCACCGGTTCGCTCTAAACCGGTGCCAACTCCATTCCCTTTTCTTTTTTTTTTTTTTAAATGGTTGGCACCGGTTTGAACCGGTGCTAATTAAAGGATTTGGCACCGGCTTAGGTTGGAACCGGTGCCAACTCTGAAATTTCCAATCCCGCCCATTTATTTTGGCACCGGTTTTCAAGAACCGAGGCTAAAGGGAGGGTGCCTATTTCAAATTTTCTACTAGTGTTATAAAATTATTCAACATCATAAGATAACCTTAACCTCGAAGGTGAGTATAATAATGGGGTAAGAACAAAAACTTCGGGTCGTCGCAAGACAACAAAGGAGGAGGAGGCGGGACGTCGTGAAGAAGAAGAGAGAGAAGAAAGACGCCACCTGAAACCCTAAAAATCCAACAACCAATCGCGACCACCATCACCATTGCCTTGGTGCCGTGAAGAATGAGGATAAAGTGTGGTGGCGGTGGAAAGGGGTGCGTAGTGGCGGTGGATTGAAGTAGTGGAGTCAAGAGGGAAATGGGGAAAGGTAGAAGGAGAAAGGAGGAGCGAGTTAAAGAGAGAGAGAGAAAGGAGAGTGAGGCTGTTAGATTGAACTAAAGCGTGGTTTTTTTTTTTTTTAATGGCATCGGTTAACCGTTGCTCTTAACTCCTTTTAGGCCGATTATTAATTTATTGGGTTTTGGCTTGTATTTTGCGCACCGATTTCAAGAACCGGTGCTAATTTGTGTTTTTCTACTAGTGAAAGGTATGTCTGCAAAATTTATGTTCTGAACGACTTAATTTAGGAGTTTTTCAATTGATATAAGGATTTAATCAATTTGGGAATTTGATTATGTTGTTCAAATCAATCAATTGAAATTAGGGTTTAATCAATTTTCGTTTAGTTGTAATCAAATTGAAAACCCTAAACCCTAAATTAAAATGCAATTGAAAACCCCTAAATTAATCCCAAACCCTAAACCAATAATTAAATTCCCAAATTAAAAACCCTAAACCGATAATTAGATTCTCAAAATGAAAACCCTAAACCCTTAATTCAATTGAAAACCCCCAAATTAAGTACCTAAACCCAGTAATTAAGCAAACATACCTTTTTTCGTGGAATCATTGGAGCGGTGAAGTAAGAGAAATTATTATTAAAACCTAAATTTTGTTTCTAGCAATTCGATTTCAAGCTATGCCTCAATTTAGATGGAAGTGGATGAAGATGGAAGTGAGAATCGAGAGAAGAAGAAAGAAAACGGAGGGAAATAGCAAAGATGACGTCATCTTTCAAGGGTTGGTCAAAGTGGTGGGAAGTCTTAGTGTTTTGGAAAAATGTAGGTGGTAAATTTCAAAAAAAACAAAAAACCGTAGGTGGTAATTCCTAAAACAACAACAATTGTAGGTGGTAATTCTCAAGAAATCCTTTGATTAATTTTTAATTACTCAACTTTATACCCCATGAATTTTAAACAACCTCAAGCTAAGTGACTTGAAACTAGCTACTCAAGTTAACATTTGTAACTTGAGATTGTTTGCACATGTGTCACCACGTGATTGGTCAAATATTATAAATTTTTTTAAAAAAAACTTAATAAAAAATTTAATATAAAAAAAAAGTAAAATCATATTTAAAAAAAACCACCACCACCTTAGCCACACCACCTCAGCCACCACCACCCAAACCTAGACCCTACAACCACCATCCCCACCCAGACCCGAAACCACAGCCCCCACCCTTACCAAGACCCGAATCCCCACCCAGACTCCAAAACCACCACACCCACCCAACCGAAACCAAAACCCAAAACTACCCAGATATGAAACGGGACGGGGGAAAGGGGGTGTTGGAAATGAAGCAAGGGGAAGGGGAAGGGGGCGGAAATGGGACAGTGGTAGAGGAGGGGGTCGGAAATGGGACGGGGAAAGGGGAGGGATGCTGGCAGCAATAGCCTCCTGGTTGGGTTTGGGTTATTTATTTTATATTTATTTTTAATTTTTGAAAGTTTTTTAATTTAATTTTTTTAACCTATCATGTACCGACACGTGTCAGGTAACCTATCATGTACCAACACGTGTCAGGTAACTTGTTATAACAAGTTAGATGACCGATTGGGACCATTTAAAGCGAATTCACATTAAAGTTAGGATTATTAAAAAAAGCCAAAAGTTGAGATTATTTTGAGCGGACGAGGCAAAGTTCGGATTATTTTGGGCAATTTTTCCTTTTGTCTTTCTTTAATGGAGATTTCATTAGTAACTTTTGTAGGAAATATGACTAAAGCATTCATAATAATTAAACGCCTTATCTGGTAAATGTCATGGCGTAACAATAGATCACTGCCCTAAAGTCAAATTTGCCCCGCACAGTACACACAAACTCGTAACAATCGACCCCTAGGGTTACACGACTCCAACTCTTCGGTGTACGACAAAGAGTTAGATTGACAACCCTATGTACAATGCCCAAAATAAGAAACTATATTTTGTGTAACAATTTTTGAAGTAAAGATGAGGAAGAGTAGTCTTTTTCTTCTATCTTGACAAAGAGGGCATCAATACAGTAGTCCAATAAGCCAAAATAAAAGGAAGGGCATAAATTTGTATACCATCATTCCATCCATAATTGTAGCCATTAGCCGAAAATCAATCAAATTGCCTACTATCCATGAGATAACATCTAGGCAATCAAGAGAAGATCTATTAGTCATCAATCAAAGTAAAACGGCTTTGCAAATTAAGGTAACAACAGTGGATTAATTATGCATGGCACAAAGTAATTTTCTTATGGGAATTAATGTCACCCAATTAAGGCTAAATTTGTGATTGATTTGAAAATACCTAGACTTCGAGTTTTAGAATGGGGGATATCTAACAACTCCAACAACTTCATCATCATACTAATTTCTCCGTCCATAATAAAGAGCTCACTTCTCACTTTGCACGGAAATTAAGGTCGGAAAATGTGAGATTCCTTTGTTTGCATATAATGATAAATACATGTTATAATACTTTTTCACAAGAAAATTCAAGTTTATATCCTCGGAATTTCGTGTTTCAAAAGCCTGAGTTAACTTGGAAAGTAACATTTAGCCCATCTGCAAACTAACAGATGTTTATTGACGCGAGCTAAAGCGCATAAATTGAGAAGAAATTAGTATATAGTAATGTCTATAGATTTACAAGTAATTGGTTAACCGTTTAGTAACATACTTCTATCTAAAAACATTACTCCGTAGTAATTAATTACTGTACTCAGAATTAAAAGCGTAAATACTTAGTCATTCGATAATTTTCCTTTTTTTTTCTTATTTAGCTAGCAAATACAATTTACAAACTAAAAAAATAAAAGTATTGCGAATGAAAATTTCACAAAAATTAAATGTGGGAGATTAGGATATAGAATTATTAAATCCTAATTACTTAAAAGTTTGGTTTCTACTCTAATGGATATCTAAGCAACATTAAGACTGATTGGAACACCAGCAACCTTCACCCAAGGAGCACCTGCTAAAAAGGTAGCAGCAGAGTAACGTTGGGCTGTAGTCTTATCTAAGACCTTAACTTGTGGCCACTTAACCCTCATAGCGGTATTGGAGCCTGGTCCACGGTTAGCATACTCGCCATAGAAAGCAGTCAAATGGTTATTTTTTCCTTCTGGTGATTGCCATGAAAAATAACCAGCTGGTTGGATTAAGTCACCCATGACAGTTTCCATGAATACGGTTTTAGCGTAAGGCTTCCATGGACGGCCTAAGTAAGTTGCAACCTTTAGCCTTTCTGGAAAAAGATCTGTCCCCGCTAAGATTTCACACCCTTGGATCACAATCCCTGTGGCCTCGTTAGCTGCTATCCCACCCTGAGCTGTGACTAGATTTTGTTGTCCAGGATTACCCCTTCTTGCAATGATTTTTGAGTTCTGGATCAAAGAAGCACCATTGCCAAAGATGAAATCAACAGTTCCAGATATTTGACAATCGCGGAAGAATTGGGATCCACCTTGGACGTATAGAGTGTCTTGGTAACCATCAAAAAAACAGTTTTGGAACACTGCTTGTAAACCATTGACCCTTAAAGCTACAGCCTGATGCCCTTGTGGCCCTGCAGTGTTTTGAAACCCCATATCCTTGCAAAGGAACCCAAACCCTTCAACTTGGAATGGAGCAGTTTTTGATGTTTGTACACCTTTTGCAAAGCTCTTATCACCCATAACCACTGTTTTTGTAGGGCCATCACCGTACATGAAAACGTTATTATGTTGTTTTCCTATCAACACATCCTCCTTATAGATGCCGGCCTTGACATAGATAACAAATCGACCTTGCACCTCACCTGGATGCGTCTTGAGAGCATCTACGATGGTTTTAAATTGACCACTACCATCTTGGGCAACTATCGCATTAGGCTTCATTCCAGGTACAATAGCAGGAGCAGCAATAGCTCCAGTAGCAGCAGCGACACCTGCTCCAGCTGCAACACCTTTGCCCTTCTTTATTCCTTTTCCCTTACTCTTCTTACCCCCCTTTCCAGAAGTTTTTTTAGAGCCTTTGTTTCCATCGCTCAAAAGCCTACGATCTAAGGAAGATAACCATGTAGGATTTCCCTCTCCATCAATAGCCATGCCAAGAAGGTGACGTTTATTTGTGGGAATATTATTAACATCTAAACTATCACCAGTCTTAACCTGCTGAACCAAATTGGTAGCATTAATTGAAAGGTCTAGGCCGGCAAGGGCTTCATTAAAGGTGGTAACAATGTCCAACATGCTAATAGTGACCTCGGTGGCATTGACAACACCATCTTGCATGATTTTTTGAAGGTCTGGAGCCTCGGCCTCTCCAAACTCATCCGCACAGCTCGTAGAAAAAGTGACAACATCAGTAAGCCAAAGGCGAAGGCTCCATACAAGTCCTTTGTCCTTATATATATTAGGATCATGGACTTGGTCAAGAGCCCCATCAAGGCGATCTATAGCGAGGTCAAACAAGTTCTTACAACTTTCAATAGCCATATTGGCCATCTCCGGTTTCTTGGTTGCATTGGCTTTAGGTACAAGCGTGTCAGTAAGGTTGGTGGCTCTAGCTATCTCCTCTAATGCTAACTTGACACCGGCTTTTACGTAGTCATGTGGTGTGGCGCTTTGGTTTTGTGCAACCGAGCCTAGGTTCTTGATGCACGAATCCTTATATGTCGTCGGACCACATAATGCATTTACTGTCTTCATTGAAGATGACAAGTTCTCATCATCTTTACCACCTTCCTTGTGACTATCACCCTTATCTCGATGCACTACTGCCACCAGTCCTATTACAACTCCTACCACCAATATTATGGATATTACTGATACTACCACCTTTCCCCCCATTTTCTGATTTTTTTTTTTTTTTTTTCAATGATTATCACCTGTGTAACATATAATATATCGATGGAATAGAATGATTTATGTATTTGATAAAAACAAAGGACTTTTTTTTTTTTTTTTTTGGCTTTTTCCTTTTGACGAGTCTCTTATTTACAATAATGCTTCGTATGTTATTAATTCATACAATAGAGAGGGAGAGAAACGGGAGTTCGTTTGCCCCTCTATCTCTCTTGACTCTCTTTGTCTATTTTATTTGCAACTATATATTTTTGTATAGCTTGTAATGCAATTCTTTATATGGGGTTATATACTTTATATACTGGTAACATGTTAAATATAATGATAATGCTTAATTTAAAATTGTCCCCTAATTTGTCTCGCATCCCTTAATTTTTTTTTTTTTTTTAGTCTAGCCAAAATACTACTCCGTACTATTGCAATTTGATTCCTATGTGGCTTACCATTTTTGGTGTGACTTTTATGGTTTGAGGAGAGCTCTCATATACCGCAAGTTGCGGGGCAGCAAAATTTTTGAGATTGTTTGTGATGTCAAATTTAATTTAGTCAAATTGCAAATTAAAGCAATACTTGTATGTATGGGCGTATGGTTGTATGCATCATACTCCAATCAAGGAAATAGTAATTGCTATTTTCAACATAAAATTTGGTTGGATAATAAATTAATACAATAGCATTATGCAAGTGTGCGAACATTACAAAGTATTTAGCAATGACCACAACTTGGGCTTGTTTGGCATCGTTTTTTGTTTTTTAGTTTTCTGATTTTTTTTTTTTTTTTTAAAACAAAAACATCAAAAATAGGAATCAAGAATGAGGTGTTTTCACTTTTCAGTTTTCAGTTTTCAAAATCATCATGATTTTAATAAGTTTGACCAATTTTTGTTTTATTATACTTTGTATGACATGCATATATGATATGATTTGAAAAACAAAAAACCAAAAAACTGAAAACCATATCATCACCAAACGGACCCTTAATTATTAGTGGCAATCATATTTTCTTGCTAGTTTTTTTTATCAAACAAACATTCATTAAAACAATATACATACGACGATGTGATTGATTCAATTTTTCACATTATATGGACAAAATTAGTCTTTTAATATCTAAAATGCTAATATAAAATTTGAAAATTTTAATCCAACAAAAAAATATTTTTCAAGAAATTATAAAATTAAAATTAATTTTACATATATGAAACTAAAAATTGGATTAATAAAATATGTTGATGATACTAATTTATACCAAAAATAAAGAAATATATTTTATTACTTGAAGAAAAATAAATCAATCATGAATTGATATGGTAGTCATATTTTAATAATCGACCACTATAAAATTTTCATACATTTGCACTTTGTAGGGAGTAAATACTTTTTTTATTTTTTAATTTTATTTTCTAAATAATATACAAAGTATATGTTATATATGTATACAAGATATTAAAGACAATAACTCAATTTTTTCTCAAATCACTCTCTTTTATACAAATAATCACTCTATCATGCATCTTTTACACACACATATACTCTAAATCTACTACTCAAATGTTATTTTTTTCTGACGGATACTCTCACATTATGAATGTTAGTTTATTCGCAAGTAAAGTCCACTTCATATTATTATTTTGAGCTTTTAAGGAGAAAAAAAAATAAATGAAATTACTCTATATGAAGTAAAATAGAGAGGATGATGATGAGAACAATTGATCTGAGTATGAGTAAAGTATTACTCCGTAAATATTTTTATTTGCTTTCTTTGTTTTTTATATCTCTTCCTACTTACTGTAGCAATTGTACGTGACCAACTGGCCATGGATATGTGAGACGAGTTTATAATCTTAATATCCAAGCAACGAGATTTAACCGTAGTTTATGTAAGATCTTGCAATAATTTGGCAAATCCTTTCGCCAACTAAATAAAGGACATCCAAGCTAAGGAAATTGTTTACGAAACAAGCTGATGAGAGATGGGCTTGAGACCCATTTGATTAGTCAACAACAAATAAATGGAAGCCCGACCTTTTCTTTATGTATAACCGTAATTAAAAGGTTTAATGCGGTAACTAATCGATGACTGATTAGTTCACACCAGTATAGCCGCGCTATTATTTAGTGTATGTTTTGAGGGTGAGATGTATGTATATTCTTAATGAAATTCTAGTAATAGAGGAATTTCAGCTATATAGACATAAGAAGTGGTTTCACTTCTAACAAAAGTAGTATGGGTCTATCTTTTGTAAATGGCTTATCTTTTGTAAATGTCTATGAATCCAGGTGGAGCACATGACCATATAATAATAGTGCTACCTTAATTGTTTATGAACATGTTACGAGCAATGTGTATGAAGTAAATTTTGGCTCAAAGGCTTTTAGGTATTTATTTTGTTGGGGTTTTGAAAAACAATAATTTCAATAAGTGAAAGGTCGGTCAAATCGAAAGATATTTTCATGTATGCACAATCTATTAAATTGAAGTGGGGGGTTGTTGACAATAGTCTTCAATTGAGAAGATCTTTGTCCAATCTAGAAGAATACATAAGTTATCTCTTTAGAACTCTAGGTCTGTAATGTAAAGTGTAATTATATTGGGCAAATATTATGAGCTTGACTAAATTATTATTGTTGATTAGTTGTATGTTATATACTCTCCCTCGTTAGGTAAGATTAATGACACTACACTATATAAGATGAATGACAAAGTGGAGGTAAATTAGCATAATAATCCCATTAGCATTATATTATAGTACACAAATTCTTATATGGGGCTGGCCACACGGTGTGACCAACGATTATAGGGGTTACTTCGTTAGTGTATAATAGAGGTTACTTGGTCAGTGTTAAAAGGGTTAGTTTGTCAGTTTTATAAGATTACTCGGTCAGTGTTGTAGGGTTACTCGGTCAATATTACAAGGGTTACTCGGTCAATATTACAAGGGTTGCTTGGTCAGTGTTATTAGAATTATCTTATTTTTTTATAAGTGGTTACATGGTGTGGCCAGCCACACACAAGACCGACTGATTATAGTATGTATAATGGGGCTAATATTGTTGTAAGCAAGAACACAGGTTAATCTTGTCCTAGCAAGTCTTTTTGTTCTTTCTTTGTAACCTGATTGTAATTCTTTTCTGTATTTTCAATAATAGATTATATATATATATATACACACACACACACTACAAGAAAATTGTCCTTTTGTACCGAGTATTTTGTAGTGATTGTACATTCGCTACAATATGCATGTATGTTTGTGAAATAGTAGAGGAAATTGTATCATTTTACAATCGCCATGGTAATCCCATATAAAATCGGTACGAAAAACATAATAACACATATCCACCCTTTTTTTGCTCATTTTTAAAAGTATGGAAAATCGTATCGTTTACCATCGCCACTAAAACCCAAAAATCGATACATTTTCTACACTAGATATACGAATATTGTTTGACAAAGAATACATAATAGGAAAAATTGCTAAAAATAATCTCAACTTTCACGTATTCGCTATAAATGATCCCAACTTTGGATTATTATTAAATAATCCCAACTGTGGGATGAATTCGCTCAAAACAGTCCCTAACCGATTACTAAGCTATTATAATTGATTAAGGTGACACGTGTCACCATGTGATTGGTTGATAAATTTAAAAAAAAAAATTACGAAAATTGAAAAAAAGAGGAGAACTTAAAAAAAAAAAAAAATTGTCCAGCCACCACCCACACCTTCCCCACCACCCATGAACCACCTTCCCCAACACCCCCTCCCCCTCGCCGGTAGCTCCCTTTCCCCCAAAACCATCAATCCTGCAGCCCAAAACCCCTGAAATCCCACATGACCACCCAAAATCCCTTAATCACCTCCCCCACCGCACAAAAACCCCCAGCCGCTCCTCCACCAACATCGAAACCCTAGCGCTAGGGTTCCGATGGTGGGGGAGGAGCGGCTAGGGGTTTTTAATGCGGGGTGGGGGAGGTAGTTTAAGGATTTCAGGCGGGTTTAGGGTTACGGGATTGGTTGTTTAAGGGAAAGGGGCGCCGGTTAAGGCAGTCTCGGCGTGGGGGGGGGGGGGTCTGGCCGCAGCAGGCCGGGGACTTGGGCTAGGCCGATGGCAGGCCCGACGCCGGTGGTTGCGTGGTTGTCGTGGGTTGGGGGCTTGGGGTTGGGTTTTTTGTTTTATTTTTTTTTAATTTTTTATTATATTTTCAACCATTAACGCGATGACATACACGTGTAAATTAACTTTTAAAAAAAAATTACCTGTTTAACAGGTTACCAGTCACATGGGACTGTTTTGAGCGAATGACCCCGAAGTTGGGATTATTTAAAGAAAATACGTAAAAGTTAATTGACACGTGTCATCGCGTTAATGGTTGAAAATATAATAAAAAATTAAAAAAAAAATTTAAAACAAAAAACATTTAATATATGTATGTCAGGGATTATTTTTAGCAATTTTTCCTACACAATATATATATATATATATATATATATATATATATATATATATATATATATATATATATATATATATATATATATATATATATATATATATATGTCATAACTTATTGGTAAAACATTTAATATTAGAGCTTGAGGTTGTGTGTTCGAATCTTGTAAAGATCATATGTATTTTCGTATCGATTATTGAGGACAACCCCACCTATATCGAAAAACACTATTAAAGGCTATGACAACGATGGATATTGTATCGAATAACTATTCGTTGGGAAAGCTTTTTGTAGCAAATACAATCGATACTAAAGGTTAGAATAATCGCTACGAAAAGGTAATATATATATATATATATATATATATATATATATATATATATATATATATAAAATGTAGTATAAAAACAAAGTTTATATATAATTAAGAAAGTGTTTGTTGAGAACAAAGTGTTTGTTGAAATTACGATATGTAAAAGGGAAACAGTACAGGGCATTATATTATTGGTGCAATTGCATTTGTAGTTTGCAAGTATCTTTTTCTTTCCTTTAATTTATAGGAGGGGAAGGGGAAGAACTGAAGAAACTAAGATTAAAACTGATAGGTGGAAACAACGTCGAGCATGTTGACAGCAAGCTCCTTAGCATTGGTAATGCCAACTTGCATAAGTTGTTGGAGCTGTGGATCTTGAGCCTCAACAATCTCATCCAAACAATTAGTAGAAAAGGTGTTAACATCACCAAGCTCGAGACGAAGATTAAGGATGGTTGACGGGTCTTTTAAAGTGGAATGGAGGTCGCCAACACCCACTTGGTCGGAAGCCATCTTAAGGCGATCAATAGATTGTTCTAAAAGCTCCTTACAAGTATTAAGCGCTGAGGTAGCCCTCTTAGAGTTTGCTTTTGGGAGTAGGGTGTTTGGGAGGTAAGAGGCCTTTGTTATCTCATCCAATGCCATATTTACACCACTTTTAAAGTATTGTTGTGGATTGTTATTGCCACTATTTCTTGTCATTGAGCTTAAACTCTTGATGCAAGCATCCTTGTATGTGGCTGTTGCGCAAAGTTCATTCACCGTTTTTATCGAATCAACACCACCGATATCACCTTGGGCATTGGAATTAGCATGCGCATGAGCATGAGCATGAAATCGAACGCCATGGGCATGCGCATGAGCATGAGCATGAATATGCCCCGTGTTCCTTACTAGCATTTTACGATTGACCAACTTGTTGGCTTTTACCTCTCTTATTCCTAATCCAGCCACCAAGATGGACATTACTAATATCACCAACTTACCTCCCATTTCTTCTCCTTTATCCCACCAACTTATATATTTTTATTATAGATATAAGAGTTATTTATGAGAGAGCTCGAAGGATCTTATCAGAGAGATTGAGAAAAGAGAGCCTTATTCTGCCTCTCTATCTCCCTTAACTCTCCGTGTTTATTCACAATTGCAACAAAATTTAGAAATCTTTTATCACAATTGTAACGATAAAGTATTAAATGGGTGAAGATTTTCATACCACTGATAATTGAAGGAGGAAGTATGTTAAAAATTAGCATAACTCCTCCAATCACTCACATTGCCTTGGTTCTTTTATAGCCATCCATTTTTTAGGCTGATATTTATTATTTAATACCACTTTCTTTATTTAGTGAAGTACTCCCTATAATGTTTTTGTTGGCGTTTGCAAAGATTACACTAGGTCCATCTTTATACAAGTCATCACCATTCAGTCATTTAACAATATAATATTATTTAAACAAATTTTATATTCTTTCGTTCTTTTATAATTGACCATACTCTCTTAGATTATCATAATTAGACGACTTATATTTTCGTAATACTTCGTATGCAAGATTGATTACTAGTTGTCGTTGTGCCAAGTCATACAACTTTATAGCGAGGTTTTAGAGTTAAAGAGGGGGGAAAATAGGGGCGTGGGCGAAGAGAAGGTAGCAATTGTGGAATTCTGGAATACTGGTCTCTCCCAACTGCAATAGAGTTGGTGGTAAAATGAAGAATGGAGAAGCCAGGCTTTTGCTGGGATTCCCTCCCAATTCTCGTCCCACCCCTTCGCAGGTAAAAACCCCAATTTTGACATCAATTTACATAATTCTGTTGCTAAATATTTTGTTTTCTTCTTCTAAATTGACGGGGAAGGAATTATTAGCTTTTTTATGGAAGAGATTAACATTTATATCATCATATGCTTTGAATTCTATTCCCATTCATTTTTGACTATTACGAGTAGTCGAGTATTGTAATGTATCCAGATTAGCCTTTTACGGCACTTAATTGCTTACTTTCATGCTAAAATTGTTTTACTAATCAAATCTTATTTTGTGGTCATCGATCATGCTAGCAATTCTCACATGATCTTTCTTTGTATGTTTCTGGTGGAGGTGGTCTAATTGCATGTGTATGTTCTAATTTGCGATAAGTAGTGGCTTTGACCTGGAGTTTTTTTTTAAAGGTGCTAAGACCATGATTGCAGGTTAAAGCAGCCTATAAAAGGAAGGTTTGGGATTTTCACCCGGATCGTTTTCCAGCTGACAAAAGAAGTTATGCTGAATCACGATTCAAAATGGTAAATTTGGCATTTTCTCTCTTCCATTTGTCTAATGATGGATATTGTTCTTCCATAAAACCATTAGCATAGATGGCTTAATTTTCTTATAATCTTACTTTTTTACTTTTCACTCTGCAGATTTCTGAAGCCTACAGTTGCCTCTTGCCTGGTAATTGTTTACCTTCATTTCTTGTACTTGCGGCTTCCAGTTAGATCTCCTACATGTGTTTTTCTAATTTTAACAGATAAAAACATTGAAAAAATTCTGTCAGATTGTTCCTTTTCACTTCATTTCTTTTTTTATTTACAGAAAGTTAGGCTGGAATATTATTGCAAATTTAGTTCCGCCAAAGAGTTCATATGAGCTAATTCAATAGTACCCTTAGTATCCCAATTTCTTTATTTTCTAAATAGGGGCCATTTTACAATGGTATTGTGCACAAACTTCTAAGATGGGAGTAATTAAAAGCAAATTCTCGTCATAATTTGCAAGGTTATGAGCAGACAGAACCCATGAAGAAAATCAAAGTATATTTTGGTTTTGTTTGCTCAGCAAGAATGTTTCAATATTGAGTGGAGGCGGAAAAATAATTTAGGGGCTCTCAACCCTGGAAAGATCTGCTTCTCATATATATATACACACACCTTGATCACCACAAGACAAAGAACACAGCTCATGGCTGCTGTCAAGGCTAGAAACAGACAAAAAACAAACCTACTCCTGCACTAAGTATAGCTATACAAATACTATACATATATACATATTTCTACACCCCCCCCCCCCCCTCAAGTTGGACTTGGGACAAAGTAGCAAGTCCCAACTTGGACGATATGAACCAATGTTGATGTGCAGGGAGAGACTTGGTAAGAATGTAGTAATGGTACCATTCCTTCAATGTTATCTCGAATATAATAGCAGTCCAATTTGAGATGCTTTGTTTAGTCATGGAGTGCTGGGTTATGAGCAATATATTCTGCTGATTTATTATCACAAAATAAGGTGACAGGAAGAGGCCAATCCTGCCCCAAATCCTCAAATAAACCAACTATCCATGCTATCTCACTTGTGGTCTGTGACATGCTTCGAAACTCTGCTTCACAAGATGATTTTGAAACCACCTTTTGCTTCTTCTTCACAAGGTGCTGTCCTAGAAAGCACCTTCCAAGAATACACAAAAACCTGTCAAGGATCTTCCACTGCATCACTATATGCTGACAGTAAATGATCAGTGTTACTAGGGTAAAACAATAGTAGATCACCTGTTCCTTTGATATATTTCACAACATGCAGAGCAGCTTGCATAAGTGGCTTTCTAGGACAGCCTAAATATTGACTTAGTTGCTGAACTGAGAAAGATAGATCAGGTCTAGATAAGTTCAAATATAGCAATCTTCCCACCAATCTCCTATAACTTTCGGGATCTTCAAGCAATTCTCCTGATTCTGTTGATAAGTTTACTCCCTTTGGAAATGGGAATGTACATGGTGTACACCCATTCATTCCACTATCTCTCACAATATCTAGAGCATATTTTCTTTGGTTGATCATTGTACCCCTTTCACCTCTAGCTATTTCAATTCCCAAAAAATATCTCAAGAATCCCAGATCCTTTATTGTAAAGGCACTGTCCAGCTTTCTTTTCATAGAAGCAATTGTTTCTTTATCATCACCAGTGATAATTAAATCATCAACATACACCAAAATGATGCAAGTCTTACCATTCACTGTTTTCACAAATAAGGAGTAATCTCTTCTACACTGCTTGAAACCATTTTCTATCAAAAATGACTTAAGCTCAATATTCCACTGCCTCGAAGCTTGCTTTAAACCATATAAACTCTTTCTCAATTTGCAAACTTTGTCCTTTGTTCCATCTCTATGCGATTCCGTAATCTTCAAGTATACTTCTTCTTCTAAGTATCCTTGCAAAAATGCATTATTTACATCCAACTGATGTAAATTCCAGTTTCTTGCAGTTGCCAATGCAATGATAAGTCTTACACTTGCAAATTTAGCCACTGGTGAGAAAGTGGCCTTCTAATCCTTTCCTTCCACCTGCCTATCTCCTCTTGCTACTAACCTTGCTTTCAGTCTCACAATCTTCCCATTTGGATCCAATTTCACAGCATAAACCCATTTATTGTCAATAGCTTTCTTTCCTTTTGGCAGATGATCTATCTCCCATGTTCCATTGTTATCTATTGCCTGTAACTCTTCTTGCATTGCTTTCACCCATCTTGGATCATGTGAAGCTTCTCTGTATGTAGTTGGTTGATCTATCTTCATTACATTGTTAAGGGATACAATGTAATCTGGTGTATAGTACTCTTTGTTATCAAGAATAACATGTGCTAGGTTCACATCCCTTGGCTCAGCTTCTTGATTTATATCTTTCACCTGTTGCAGCCTCTTATCACATTCAAAACCTTTATATTTTGAAGTTGGTCTTCTGTCTCTTATGGACCTTCTCAATGCTTCTTGTTCCATATTCTATTCCTGATTTCTCTGGTCATTCTGCTCTTGATCATTCTTGTCTTCTTCTAGTGTCTGAACCTCTTGTTCTAACACTTCCTGTTCTACTTCATGCACAACTTCAGCTTGATCTTCCTCTTCTCTGAAAGGAATTTCCTTTAAGATATTGTCAGCAGACATCTTATCTGATGTCTCTAAATTCAGGTCAATGCTTCTAGGATTTCAGCATATTCCTTGTCATTTTGTTTACAAGGAAAAATATTTTCTTTAAAAATTACATCTCTAGATACAAATATTTGCTTGGATTCCAAATCAAATACTTTGTATCCCTTTTGATCACTAGGATATCTAACCAGAACACATCTGGTTGCCTTAGAAACAAACTTATCCCCTTTTCTATGCTTGTTACTAGCATAGCATAGGCACCCTATCACTTTCAGATGCTCATATCTTGCCTTTCTCTTCATCAGTCTCTCAAAAGGTATCTCCCATTTCAACATTGCACTAGGAAGCAAGTTGATAATATGGGTTGCTGCAAGCACACACTCACCCCACATATTCTTGGGTAACCCAGCATGTATTCTCAATGCTCTTGCTGTCTCTATCAGATGCCTGTGCCTCCTTTCAACTCTCCCATTCTGCTGTGGGTTCCCTGCAACACCTCCTTTGATGTAAAATTCCCTTTTCTTTCATTATTGTAGAACACTCTGACTGAAATATTTCAGTCCCATTGTCACTTCTTATCACTTAAATAGAAGTATTAAAGTGATTCTGCACATATGCAACGAGCATTTGCAGCACCTGTCTAACCTGTTCCTTATTTGACATCAAATAAGTCCAGGTCACTCTTGAATAATCATCCAAGATTGTGAGGAAATAGCTTGCCCCTATGACATTTTTAGTTCTATATGGTCCCCACAGAACCATATGAACCAAATCAAAAATAGCATTTGCAATCGAAGAACTTGAATTAAAAGGTAACTTGTGGTGTTTTGCCATACAACATGTATCACAAAAATATTCAGAAACCCCATTACAGTCACAAATACTCAAATGTTTCATCTTAGATAAGGAAGTATGTCCTAATCTTGCATGTAATAAATCTAAATTTCCTCTAGATTTACTACTCAAAATTTTCTTCTTACAAGCCATTACATTAGACTTTTTCTGCTCCTTCTCTGCTCCACTTCTTCCTTCTTCAGTTCTCTCAGATTTCATGTCCAGCTTTAGCTTGTAATTCTCTCCATATCCAACTACTTCTCTACTAAAAGGGTCCTGAAATAGACACCCATAATCAGTGAATATCACCTTTAATTTTGTTTGCTCCATCAATTTACTTACTGACAGTAAATTATGCTTGAACTCAGGTATATGCAGCACATTTCGAAGAATTATATGTTCACTCAATTTCACAGTTCCCATTTCTTTCACATTTCTAGTTGTCCCATCTAGCATCCCAACACTAACATACTTTCTTAAAGTTCTTATGTCACAAAATAATTTATTATTGCTAGCCATGTGATCAGATGCCCCTGAGTCTATCAACCAACAACTTCTATCAACATTCTCATAAAATGCACAAGCATTTGAGGTAGAGACAATACCTGCAAAATTGCTCATACTCACTGCATTACCTGAACTGCTTGCCTGACCTTGCTGCTTCTGATTCATCACTTTCATTACCTGCTGCACCACTGCATTCACCATCTCAGAATCTGGTTTCTCTCCTTTGCTTGACTGTCCTTGTTCAGATGATTCAAGAGGATCATCTTCAATGTATTGTCCTGTTCCAGACACATTTGCAGCATATTTCACTCCTGCCTTTCCCTTTGGATTGTTCTTAAACCAATCTGGAAACCCATAAATCTTGAAGCATCCATCAATTGTATGTCCTTTCATTTTGCAATTTTCACACTTCTTTTCTTTTTCTTCCTTGGTTTCTCTTCTCTGATAATTACCATTCTGGTAATTATTCCTGTGATTCTGATTGTTGTTGTGCCTATTTCCATGAAAAGGTTTAGCAGCAAGTAAAGCGTTCGCCTCTAAGCCTATTTCATCCAATCCCGATATCTCCTTCTGCTTTTCAACCTGTAAGACCATCTGATGTGCTCTATTAACACTAGGCAATGGATCCATGCATATGATATTTTCTTTCTGGTTATCATAACCAACATTCAAGCCCATCAGAAAATCCATCACCTTTTTGTTCTCTTCTCTTTCTATCAATTTCTTCATTACACTACATGTGCATTTATTGAAAATACCACATGTGCATTCAGGCATTCCTTCCAGACTATTAAGCTGATTCCATTTACCCTTAAGCTTCCCAAAATATTCCGAAACACTCAAGTTGTTCTGTTTCAAACCATTCAACTCTTTCCTAAGCATATAGATTTGAGGAGCATTTGACTGCCCAAATCTCTCAGCTAATTCAGTCCAAAATTCTCTCGCTGAGTTCACTATCAACATTTATTCAGCAATTTGTGGTGTTACACTAGCAGATAACCAACATCTAATCATGCAATCATTCCTTATCCACTTACTATAATCTTCAGAAGACACATTTGGTTTAGATATCTTACCCTCGATGAATCCCAGTTTGTTCTTTGCCCCTATAGCCATCCTCACACTTCTGCTACTGTTGACATAGTTCTTTCCATTGAAAACAATCGTTCCCAATGGTGTGTTCGAGTTATCTGAGCTTCCCAAATAATAAGGATCAGCATAAGGAACAACTTGCTTACCCTCCATTATGAGAATAAGTTTCTGTTTCAAAGATTGAAGTTTGAAAAGATCAAAGATTAAAACTTTGATATTCTGTTCAGTGTTTTGTTAAAGATTCAAACTTTCTATTTCAGAAAGATTCAATTTTGCCTGGGGAGCTCTGATACCATGAAGAAAATCAGAGTATATTTTGGTTTTGTTTGCTCAGCAAGAATGTTTCAATATTGAATGGAGGCGGAAGAATAATTTAGGGGCTCTCAACCCTAGAAAGATCTGCTTCTCATATATATATATACACACCTTGATCACTACAAGACAAAGAACACAGCTCATGGCTGCTGCCAAGGCTAGAAACAGACAAAAAACAAACCTACTCCTGCACTAAGTATAGCTATACAAATACTATACATACATACATATTTCTACAACCCATCTATTTGCTTGAGGTAATATTTTGCATATTATGTCAATTCTAGGTGTTCATTGGGGGTGGCCGGTGGGGGCCTGGGGAGGAAAGGAAATGAGGAAACGTTGTTAAAAGATAATGACCTTGGTGATTCTCTCCTGATAATTCTGGAACACTACACCCCTAGTAAATATAATGCACTGTCAAAAACTCTGCTTTGACATCTTACAGTAAAAGATCAATTGTGCTAATGAGGTTACAGCAGGAAAGAAAGTGTCACCGTTTTTCTGGTTCTTTTGATGTGTCATTTGTCATTTTTTTGTGGCTGGTTGTAGAAAATAGGTCATGTCAGTGGTGGTAGTTTGGTACCTTGGTAAGAGCTGAAAAGCAGTGGTCTATCAAGCTCCTTGAGTAATCTAGAAGACTAAAACCATAACATGGTAACATTTTTGCATCTGAGAAATGGCTGCTCTAATTTCATGAATTATGATGTTAGTGAGCTGAAATCACAACCCCTTGATTATTTTCAAGGTTGCATAAGGTGACAGACTGCTGATAACAATGTTTTAATGATGATATAGTGATGCATTTTTATGTTCGGTTGAAATAGTATTCTAAATATAGCATGAATTGGAATCTGCAGGTGGAGGAATTTCCAGTTCAGGTAACATTACTGAGCATGTCTTTTTATTTTTAAAATAATTACTTAATACACGTCACATATATACATCTTGTCATTAATGAAATATTATTAGCTACTTACACACGGGTCGTGCGGACTGGGGTACCAAGGGTGCATGGAGGCGGAAGACATCATCTTTTAGTTGGCCTTCCCTTCCTTTTTGTTATGCTTGGAACAGTTGGACTTGGAAGTCTAAATATTACCAGGTACAAAACTTAAGCCTTGAAGGTGTAGAATACCAAAACTGGTCTTGGTGGTGTTGAAAGACTACTATTGGGCTCAGAGTATCATCATACTTCTGATTATTGATACTTTACTTCTCAGGGCTTACAGGAAGGAAAGAGAAGCAAATCCATCACATAATCCTTTTCTCCCCTAATCCGAAATTTGGCAAAGTCAAATTCTTAAAATAACACTCAGTTGAGGAAATCGGCCTAATGATAGATCAGTTCTTTTCTCAGGAACTGCTGCTTTTTCAACCAAAACTTTACGGCTGCCCATGGGTGTCTGGGTGTTGGTTACATTGAAATCAGTCTTCAGACATTGGCGTGTGGTAAATTATGCAATACTTGAAGCGTTGAAGTATTAAATTTTACTGATTCTTGATCTTGGGGAAGCTCTAACCATGCAAAAAGCCCGTTCCTTATGTTTCAACCATTGTTAATTTCATGAAATAAATATGCATGTGATGTTTTAACCAAAAAGCACAGACTATTCCAGGTTCTGTTCACTGTCAAAAATTCTGAAATGCTGAACCTTTTGATTGACAATCCTCGTGAATAACAAGGGAGAGAAAGAAACTAGTTACATATACAATATCTCAAATAGAGAAAATACAGAGAAATACTTTATTTATTTTACATTGTATATTTTTTTTATATTTTGTCAAATTTCCTGTATAACAAAATATTTGCTGAGCATTACCTTCAATCTACAAAACAATAAAATGTAATCCTAGTTTCTCTCTTTTTGTTTGAAGAACTCTATTTAACTGTTAAAAAAATTGTTTTATTTTGTTTGTTTCCTAGCAAGAAAAATTATAGAGGAAGAGAGAGATAAGAGATGTAAAGAGTAGGTAGGAAAATGTGACGTATCTTTTTTTCAATTGAAAAACATTTTTCAATTTTAGAAGAACTAATTTCCACTTTTTGAAAAATTGTTTTCTATCCAAACAATGAAAAATGGGAAACTAAAAATCTACCCCATCCATAATTTACACTTTTAAGAAAGTCCCTTAAAATCTGCACCATACTTAATTTTCACTTTCTTAAAAGTGGTATAGCTTTTTTTTCTGTTTTTTGAAGCAAAAAAGTGGTATAGCTTGTATAGTTGTATTGAGTAAGTAGGTAAATTTAGTATTCAATATGTGTATTCAACGGAGTAGAAAATAAAGTAGAAAGAAATTGTAGAGACCATGTTAATTAAAATTGGAAATGAATCAATCTTTTAAAGTCACCCAAATAGAAAAATGGGGCATTCTATAAGGAATTGAGAGAGTATTATATATATATATATATATATATATATATATATATATAAAAGTGTTATTATTGTACTCCCTCCGTGTTTAAATAAATTAAACGTTTTCCTTTTGTGGTCGTATCTATATAAATGAAACGTTTCCTTTTTTTTTAGTAACTTCTCTCTATTTGTGTTCCAAAAAAAAAAAAGAAAAAAAAAAGTAACTTCTCTCTATTTTTTAATTATATTTTCTCTATTTTTTAATGATATTCTACTACTAATGGTCCCACAAAACCTCTTACTTTCTTTTCTCTTCTCAAATTTATACCCCACTACCTATTATTTTAATAAATTCAAATAACCTTCCTAAACTCCGTAAAAGTCAAAACGCTTTATTTATTTAAATATAGAGGGAGTGATTGAATTAATTATACGAAGTATTTAAGATTAAAAAGTTCTTCATAGTTTCAATTCAAAACATGGTACCTTTGCTTTAAAGAGTTCTATTCGGTATCCACAAACTCTACTATGACCTTCATTTGCAAATTATACAGAATACAAATGATATACTTCCTCTGTATTTTATTATTTGCTCCACTTTTCTTTTACAGTCATATTTTATTACTTAGGGGCCGTTTGGTTAGGGACTTGGGGGTGTTCAAGAAAGGGAAAAGTAATCAACTACCTTATATCCCTTTGATGATGTTTGTTACACAAATTCAATCATTCCCTTTACCCCTTTTATTATCCCTATTTTCCTCAAACTTTGAATCCCACCCCCCCACCACACCTCTCTCTAGGGAATCACTCTTACCCCCAAACTCCTCTTCACCCAACTACCTTGACCACCTTGTAACTACTTTTGACCAAACTTGAAAACACCAACCAACCACCCAGAACTATTGCCAACCACCAAAACCATCGCTATCACCACCGTCACCGCCACCATAACCGGCGCCTAACTGAGGACAACCCCGCCATCAACTGACCCAACATCACCGCCCACAAGAAATCACCCAAAGCCAACCCAAAGCAACGTACCCTCCCTGAAAACCACCATAATCCCAGCGGAAGCAACTTCTACCCTCCCTGAAAACCACCCTAAACCCACCCTCCGCGAAAACCACCCTACCAAAATCACTCTAAATCCACGCTCCGCGAAAACCACCGCACCCAAATCACCCTAAATCCACCCGAAAAAACCCAACCATCCCCAAAAACCACCCCATCCAACTCGAAAATAGCCCCAGATCCACCACAAAAACCACCCAAAACCCTAAATTTTTCCATAAACACCCCTAATTATCCCCCCACACATCTAAAAATACAACCCTTAACACCTTATAAACAACCAATAAACTAGATCTAAAAATTAAAAAAAAAATTGAGAGAGAGAAGAGAGCAGCAGCGACGGCAGAGGGGAAGGCAACAATGGCAGTAGGGGCGGAGGACATCAGAGACGGTGGCAGATCGTGAGGAGGGTGGTGGCTAAAGTGGTGGTGGTAAGATTGAAGGGGTAGTGGTGGTTGTAGATGTGATTCTTTTTCCTTATGTAAAACAAACAGCTATACAAATGTAAGAGATTAGCTTTCCTTTCTCCTCCTTTCCCTTTGTTAATTCCATTCCATTTACCTCGTGCAAACCAAACGGCCCCTTACTCTATTTCCAGTTTTGGAAACTTTTAACAATATTTTACTATTTCCCTTCCCATTAGTGGTCCCGTCATATCATATTTTAATATTTTTCATATTCACTCTCCTCCCCACTTATACTCACTTATCTGATGGTTGTGAGATGCAAACCTTGCCACTAAACCGAGCTATGCTTGGTATATAGACTTATAAAGGAGGTGTATATTCATGTGAGATTGTGAAGCCTTTTTACAATTGTATACTTGTATGTATTTTTGAAATATCAACTATTACACATTTTACAACAACTTCATCCATTCTTTATATTCTACTTATTTTCCATTTTAGCCCGTAATTTATTATTCCACTACCTCCGATTTTTATTAGTTGCAACTTTGGGGTATTATTTGTAAGACATAAAATATTCCAAAGTTGCAACTAATAAAAATCGGAGGTAGTACTTGTTTTTTTCTATTTTGTCTTACTCATTTTATCGTCTCAGTGACCTTACCCCTTTAGCCCCATAGTATTACACTTTTTAACTGATGCGGATCAAGCATCAAGAATTTAAAAGTCTAGATAAATTTCATTAAGATTTATTTATTCGTATTCGTATGATTTACTTAAGATAATATTTATCTTTTTATAGAATATTACAAGAGATATGCCTATAAATATTTGTTCTATTAATAAGAATTTAGAGTGATTGAGTTTATGAAAACATGAAAATTGTGAGTTAGTTCGAGTAAATCGAATTGATTTCAAAACGTTGCTTTTCTTTCAAAAGATCAAAATTTACGTTGCTTTTCTTCTTGTTAAAGTCGAAAAGATCAAAACTTTATTGAATTAGGTTTACCCTAATTTCTAGTATCCCTTATTGTGGTTTAATCCACATCAAATTGGTATCAAAAGCCAGTCGAAATTTTTCTTTAAAAAAAAAATGACCTAAAACAACTTGTTCAAGGGCAGAATTATTTTGCTTCGTTCTCCTCCGTTTGAAAAGCTTTTAAGGTGATTATTTTTTTGAATCTGGGTGTTTTTTTTTTTTTTTGTCTAGATTCCACATACAAAATTTCGGAATTTTTCAAAAATGTTTGCTATTCCCTCCATCCCATAATAATTGAGACGTTGGGGTGGACACGTAGTTTGAGAAAACTACAAGTAGGTCAATTTAAAACATTTGTTTATTATATAAAATATTCTCTTTTGTATTTTTATATTGTAAGAAAACAAAAGGTGGGTGAGGTGGGGGTAGTGAGGTGATAGGGTCGTAAAAGTATATTATTTATGTATATTAAACTCTTGATTTTATATTGACATTTGACATTTTAAGAGTATTATAAGTAATTTTCTTTTCTAGACATGAGATACTACTATTGTCATTTATTTGTTTGTAGGAAGGAAGATTATGATATCAAAATGCATTTTGCCAAGCTCGGATCAAAAGAAACAAAGCTTAGGAGACCAAATGAAGTCACGTATTTTAAGCCCAGTAATGTTAGATTGCAATTAGCCACGTAGGCCTTGAAATATACTTCCTCCGTTCCTTTTTAGATGACACAGTTTGACTTTTGCACTATTCACAAACAACACTTTGACTAGCTTTTGTGATTTGTAGCTACGATAAAACATAATCATGTGGGATCTTGTTTGAATCGTCTTAATGTATATTTTATTAATATCCACTTTTTATAATTTTACAATATTGATAATGGGAGATATAACTCGTGAAAATTGTGCGTTGGCAAACGTGATAAAAGAAACGTGTCATCTATTAAGGAACGGAGGAAGTACCAACTTGACTGCTTGACACTCAGCCAAACCAAAAAAAAAAAATAATAATAATAATAGATGGATTAAGAACTCCTCTCAGTGTTCTTGCGGGCAAGCCAGCAAGGCACAAATAAACTCTTGAGCGACTATTGCGGAAAATCAAATTGTCAAGCAAGAAAAGATAGAGATGGAATTAGCTGAGGATGGGAGCGAAATGCTCGGAGCAGCTGAGATGAATCAAAGGCTTCTTATCTTTCTGTTAGGGGAGTTCTTTGGGGATAATTCAGATCCGTATTTTTTGGGGGAATTTTAGGGGCAAGGTTCTCAGCAAATTGAGGAACATCATCTTAATTTTGGCGGAGAGTAGCTATATCCAGTGAACAGAGGAGGTAGATGAACGAATCAAGGTGGCTTGGTTTACTGCGTGGTTACTCTAATCATCTACCGGAAGCTTTGGATATTATATATATATTGTTTACATTTAATGGTCAGCTACTTGTTTTTATTTTGGATTAGGAGTAGAAGTTAGAGGTGGGCAGTGTGTCGTGCCGGTCCACCGCGTGCCGTGCCTGGTGGTGGCTCGTGCCGTGCCGTGCCATGCCGTGCCTGCAACTTGGCGGGTTGTGCCGTGTCGGACCACCATTTCGCACACCCCAGCTCACGACACAGCACGGCCCACGCGCCTGGCGTGCCGGGCCAGGCATGGCAGTGAGCCGCTGTAATACCCCCAAATCTCCCTCTACGTAAATATTATATTTATACGTATAAAATACCGTAGAGATAGACTTGGGCTTACCGCCACGTGAAAACGTAAGGCTTACTTAACTACTAAAAATGGCAGTAGAAAATAATTGACTTTTATTAATATTATAATAACCATAATATATATTTCGAAAAACACTCCAAATAAAACATGTCTGACTCATGAATGAGTAAATTTCTAGCTAAGTGATCCCAATCCCAACTCAAGTATGCGCACGATCAACTCTACACCTGAAATCAAAACTGCTTACCAATAATGGTGAACAGGGCAAACCAAAACAAAAGGGAAAACGGATTAGCACAAAAGCTATGTACATATAAGTGCAAGGCACGTAAATGCTTTATTAGACAAACATGCTTTCGAAATAATTATTCCAATTCAAACTTGCCAAAGGTCACTTTCCAAAGACTTTCCAAATTTAAACCTTCCAAAAGTAGTAATGTCCATTAATAGAAACTTTCCAACCAATACATTTTCAAATTTTTAGACGGATTTCCAAAAATCAATTTTCCTCACCTAAGTGTGCACACCCCCCAAGCAAGTTAAACTATACTCGAGGAAAGACCAGATCATACAAAGCTCATGGTCTTACTTAACTAGTCCCGGGTAGAGGGACAATTAAAAAAATAAATACTCAGGCCCATAATGAGCTACAAGTTTAAATTAATTCTTTTATTTCAATAGTTTGAAATCCGGTGATCCATAAACAACTTTTATTAAGTTAAACTACACTTTTAAAGATTAAACCTTTAAATCGTAAAATTTATATTTTTACTCGACATGAAAACCATTAACTTAAATCTTTCATACGCAACATTTATTCGAACAATCATTAAAATAAACCTTTACCAAAACATGCATTTAAACTTGTATCAAGGACCCAGTCACCTATACGTACCTTGATCACAAGAACAATTAAGATACGATCACTAAACTTGACCACGATCGAGGGACTCCTCCTACACAATTAAAATAACCTTAATTAATATAAGGTTAACAAAATAAACACAAAACTATAAATAATACCCTATTTGTGCATGAATTACCGAAACCATTAACCTTATATTAAATCAAACTTTAATAGTTTATGTAAAAAAAAAAGTAACGTTAGTATTACTATAATACATTAATGATATTAGTATAATAATTTAGTAATATTGGTGATAAAAAAAAAAATAAAAGGAACAAGGTATCATTTTCTTTTTTTGTATTTATGCGGCTAGGAGGAAGGAATGCATTGAAGGTGCTACTGCACGCACCTTGCTGGCAGCAAGTCACGGCAGCAACCGGGCAGGTTCAACAGTAGTACAGGAGTTAGTTAGCCGCAGCGGCGGTAGCAATGACGAGGTGGTGCAGTTGCGGTGTTTGTTTAAGCAAGAAAGAAAGAAAAGTTGAGGAGAAATAAAGGGTCGTGAGTCTTAGGGTGTAAAGGGGACTATTTTGATTTATTTTTTTTGGTGTGAGTAAATGGGAGGAATTAAAGGTCTATTTATAGGTGTTTAAGGGTATGAAGATAGAGTTCAAGAGAGTGTAGGATTGGTATGAAAACAAGATAAATTTGAGTTAGTTAAATGAACTTGAATGTAATTTGGCCTAGGTTAATTTATGTGAAAAATCAAATGAAAAAGATGAGAAGAGAAAATAGGATTAATATTGGTTTGGTTGGAGGAGTAAGGATAGAAATCAAAGAAATCTTAAAGGTTAAGAAATACCATTCCTAAAACATACGGTCAACAAGATTTTTTTTTTTTTTTTTTTTTTTTTTTAATAATCGAAAATCAGATTTTTATTAACGCCCGCAAAATAACGTGAATTGACGTACATAGCCTTATTATTAAAATAATTATTTTTACCTAAACTTAACACTTTTACCCTACACAAACATTTTAACCGTTCTCTCTAGTGTTCACCGGCCACCAACGATCACGTTTAACCACCAATCACCACATATAATTTTCAAAATCAAACAAATAATTTAAATTTTGCAAAACCTAATTCGTTGGATCTCATGAAAGACCGGAAACACCACCTACGTTGCTCGCCGGAGGCTCATCGAACCGTAGGGAATCGGTACAATTATTTAACTGTTTTGTAATCGAAAACGCCCAGAAATTTCGAAAAACCTAGGCAGAAACGCCTAGTTTTTTCGAACACCCTAGGCAGTTTTGAACAAACTAGGCTTTTCTGCCTAGGTTTTTCGAAATCTCTGGGCGTTTGCCTTGGAATTTCAAATTATTATTTTCTTTTTGGTTTTAAATTTCACGTATTTGTTATTATTATTATTTTGATTATATTAGTTGTGTTTGTTATTATAATTACTTGTATTTGCTATTATAATTAGTTGTGTATTGTTAGAATTATTACTGTTATTATTATTAGTTGTCTCCGGTGACCGCCTTCCTCTTGTCCTTCCTTGTCATTTCCGCGGCTAACTATGTAGATGGTGGTGGTTAGAAGAGGAGGTGGTGGTGGTAGTGGTGGGTGGTAAAAGGAGGTGGTGGTGGTGGTTTAAAGAGAGAATTGTATTTAAGAGAGAGAAGAGGGAGTGAGGGTTTGGGGGGTAATTTTTTTTTTTTTTTTTTTTTTTTTTTTTTTTTTTAATATAAGGGTAATTTGTAAAATATGTTTTATTTTGCGGGCGTTAGTTGAAAATTTGAGGGCGATATTTAACAACCCCCTAAAATAAATGATTTTGATAAAAATACAAATGTATTAAATATTTTAGATAATATCAAAACTAAAAATAGTTGTAAATAATAAGATGATGATTAAAATTGTTGAATATTGATAAAATTCAGAAAATAATATAGTTAAGTCCAAATTAAAAGTACGTACAACATAAATATTGAAAATAAAATATGGACTGACCAAGATTATAATTTAATTTAGAAATATGAAAATATTTAATTTGTACGAAAGATTTTGGCGCCAAAATTTATAATTAAATTTGGCTCAAAATTTGAAGAAATTACTAAATAATTAAGAAAGTATATCCAAAATTTAGGGGTGTTACAACCTCCCAGAAATTTAATTTTGTTTTTTTTTTAAAAAAATCGATATATCTTTTTTTTTTTGAACAACTTTTAAAATGAGTATATTTAAATAATTTTATTAATTTATGTTTATGTTTTTGTATTATTATATTATTATTTTTCTTTTTACTATTCTTATTTTTATTATTATATAGTTCTTTTACTCTTTATTATTATTTATGTTAATTTTATTATTAATTTATTATTATAGCCGTTTTTATAGCTGTTGGAAGCAGCGAAATATAATTGTTTTGCACGGGCCGGGCCGGGCCTGTCGTTCTGCGTGCCATGCTGGAGGGCCGTGCCGGCAAGCCGTCCAGCGCGCCAAATTACTGTGCCGCCCACCGTGCCCTTGGCCGTGCCGTGCTCGTGCCGATTTTTCAAATTGTGTTCCAAGCACGGTCCACTCCTTCGTCACTGTGCCGCTGGCGGGCTCGTGCCGGGCCATGTCACCACTGTGCCATGCTCATGTCGCCCGTGGGCAAGCAGGGCCTATGCCCACCTCTAGTAGAAGTTTTGTTTAGAAAATGAAAATAATAAAGTTAGTGCTTTCTTAACTTGTTCTCGAATGCGTCAGTTACTCTTAGGTATTATACTTTGATTGCTTAATATAATTTCTAGTTTCTATTTTCACTTTTGCTTTGTTAATTAGTTTGATTATAAATTCTTTGTGTTCTATTATGATAACCTCAAGTTTTAGTATGTTAGGCTAAACTTCTTATGGGTAGGAAGATATATTAAGTATTGGATTATTTTATTGTGAGAATAGATATGATATAATTCTTGGGCATTATGTTTTATTTCTTAATTGGGTTGATACTCTGTTTGATTATTATGGACTAGTGAGATTATATTTTAGACCGGCCATCTTTAGTGTATTTGCTAGTTTAATTGCTAGAGTATTAACTTGTGATCCGTAATTGTCCTAGTTGGTACCATTAGTAGTGATTAGGTGTTTGATTGGTGACTAAAACTTGTCGTACACTACTAGAAAATAGGCAAATTCCGACGGAGTTGTTCCGTCGGAAAAATCGAAAATTCCGACGGAAATAAATTCTATCGAATATTTGTCGAAAATTTCCGACGGAAATAAATTCCGTTGGAATATACGTGCTTTCCGACGGAATTATCCGTCGGAATTTAAAATTTCCACCGGAATTATAGTCCGTCGGAAGTTTTCGACGGAATTTTCCGTAGGAAACTACAATTTCCGACGGAATTATAGTCCGTCTGAAATTTCCGACGAACTTTTCCGTCGGAATATAATAAAAAAAAAAAATTACACAAACCCTAGTCCAACCCCCATAAAACGGATACCCCCTATTTGTTACCCGCCTCCCTTTATTCTCTCCTCTTTCTCTCTCCTCTTCTCCTCCTCTTTCTCTTTCTCTTTCTCTCTCCTCTTCTCCTTCTTTGTTCTCCTTTCTCTGCTCCTTCCTTCTCCTTCTTTCTTCCTCTTTCTCCTTCGTTCTCTTTCCTCCTTTCCTTCCCTTTCTCTCTTTTAATTTCTTTCTCTGTCCCGTTTCAATTTTCTTTTCGTCCTCATTTTCTTTTTCATTTTTTCTTTTGCCTCTAATTTTCGAATAATTATGGTGTGGGCTGGTGGTCGTCAATAACGAATTTGTGTGGGCTGGTGGCGTCAACACATGATTAATTAGGGCGTCACAACCGATTAATTATGGTGTTTATGGTCAAATTCGACCATAAAAATTCCAGATCTGGAGTTTTTATGTTTGAATTTAACCATATAATCCCAATTTCGAGGTTTTGGAGGTGGAATTGCAGGTATTTTTTCGTTTTCTTTCTTTGGCTTGATTTTTTTTTTTTAATATTATTGTGGGTTAATTTCGTACAATTTTTGTTGATTTAAGGATATTTTGTTGCATTGATTTCGTACAATTTCGTACAATTTGAGGATATTTTTGTTGATTTCCTACAATTTTGCTTAGTTGTTGTAGTGGGTTTTTTGTTTGATTTTTGTGAGTTTATTTTGTGTGATTTTTTGTGGGGTTTTTTGTGTGATTTTTGTGGGGTTTTTGGCTGGTGGTAGTAGGTGGTTTACGGGGTGGAGGTGGGTGGTTACGGTGGAGGTTGGTGGGTTACGGTGGAGGTGGGTGACTGGCAACAGTCATGGGTTAGTATGTTGGTGGGGCCGGAGGGGGTATGTATGGGTAGGAAGGTAGGGGGTATCATGGGGTTGTGGTGGGGGTGGTGGGAGGTTTTTTTTTTTTATTTTGTTTACAACAGTTTCCGACGAACTTGTATTCCGTCGGAAATTTCCGACGGACTTTCCGGTGGCCAGAATACCTTTTCCGATGACAAAAGTCCGTCGGAATACACGGTTCCGTCGGAAATTCCGTCAGAACTGACCGTTACGACGAAATTTCCGACGGAATAAATCGAAACTCCTACAAAATGTAATACGACGGTGCGTTCTGACGGAATTTCGTCGAAAACCGGCAGTTCCGACGAAATTTCAGGATATTCCGAGGGATAATTTATGTCATTGATTAGCTGTTTTCTAGTAGTGGTAATACCTAAGATTGTCTAACCCTTTGAGTTGCACAAGTCCGAGCTTGTGAGATTTGTGGCTTAAGTTAACTATTTTCTTGTTATTAATGATGCTAATTAATCAAGTCTAGAGAGCTTGTTCTAGATTATTAGTTAGTTAGACAATACTCCGAGAGCTTGTTTGGTTTATTTGCAAGGGAAGTTTCGAATGCTTGTTTGTGTTCATTGGTTAACATTAAGATATAAATGTAATTCGTATAATTCGATGAACAATAATTGATACTCTAATGCAATATATCTTCTGATCCCTATTTCATTATCTTTGATTTGTTTGTCTCTTAGCTAATTTTATTATTTCGTTTCGTACGTAGTATATTTCTCTTAAATTCATATAAAAACAGGGTTTCTAACTTACATAAGTAATAATTTGATAATCCATTTCTCCGTGGGATCGACCCGCTTACCCTACTACATTTCTAGAAGGTTAGAGTTAGGTTTATTTTGGGTAGACAAGCGACAGTGTACCATGAGGATAGAGAAAATGTAGGATTTAATTGGGTTTTGGGGTTTATGGTCCCAAAGAGAGTATATGAAAACATTTTTTTATTAGTGGTCCCATTCTATATTTAGTAACGTGTCAAGTATTTTGGGACAGACGAAGATGGTAACTGTGTCAAGTATGGGACGGTGGGAGTATTAAACTGTGTCAGTTTCTGCCAACGGGTCAGTTTTGAGTCGGGTTCGTGATTGCTTGCTGTTGGCTTGTTTTTATTAATGCAATTTGTTGTTCAATATGGGCGACCAAATTGAATCTATTTTTATACTTATGGATAGAATGTAGGAAATGAATCAACAATTGCAACAAGCAACACAAAAATGCCTAGAAATTTTGGTTGAGATGCAAGAGTACGAAAGAATAAAAGCACTTAAGATACAGGTGGTTGACTCTAATTCTATGAACAAGGTTGATAATATTTCAAATCTGGTTGTGCAAGATGAAGAAGAAATCGAGGTGCTAGATGATGAATTAGATTTAGCTTTGTCTTATCCATTAATTGATGCAACCCAAGCAATTAAACAAAATGAACAGAAGATCCGAGCTATACAACATATGTCTGTGAGAAAATTAGACTTGGTGGTTCATGATATATCTTTTCCTAGTTATTTTAATTGTTTGCATATGGAAGCAACCACACTAAAAATTGGAATTGGTGGTAAAATCAGGAGAGGTGGAAACAATGATCTTCGGGAGAATATATTTTCATATTTTGTTCGTTTGATTTGGATAATTTCTTGGTTCAATAAAACAAAAGAGGGGGAGAATGATGCGGATCAAGTATCAAGAATTTAATAGTCTAGATATATTTTCATTAGGATTTATTTATTCGTATTCATATGATTTACTTAAGATAATATCTATCTTTTTATAGGATATTATAAGAGATTATACGATTTTATTTTATCTTTTAGGTTTGTTTATCCTATTAGGTATGGGATTCTATGCCTACAAATATTTTTTTTGTTAATGAGAATTTAGAGTGATTAAGTTTATGAAAACATGAAAATTGTGAGTTAGGTCAAGTGAATCGAATTGATTTCAAAACGTGGCTTTTCTTTCAAAAAGATCAAAATTTACATTGTTTTTCTTCTTGTTAAACACTAGGCCAAAAATGTAAATCCGCACCGGATCAAAACCCCCCTTTCGCACCGGTTTTGAACCGGTGTAGATTTGAGGGATGCTAAAAATAAAGAAAAACTTTTCACACCGGTTCAAAACCGGTGCGAAAAACAAACTTTTCGCACCGATGCGAAAAAGTTCCCAAAAAACATAAAAAAAAATAGTTTTTGGCACCTGTTAACCGGTGCCAAAAATGCCCCAAAAATATAAAAAAAAAATCTGTAAAAGTTCTCAGACTCGCCGATTGCGACCAAACAATATGCATTAGTCAACTTAGAGAACACACCCACTTCACAACTGTTCTCAAATTGAAGCCCTACAAAATATCCATCATAAACACATTGAAGCAAACAAAAATTAACACTCAAATTCTTCCAACGCTTGAAAAATTTGACATAAAACCCATGCAATAATGCAATTTACAATAGAGAAATAACAACACTATATATATTAATTGAATAACATTAGCAAATACAACCCAAAATAAATAAATCCCAGGCCTTGAAAAAGAGTAATATTACTGTGTAAACCAAACAAATTATTGAAAACACAACTATAAATATTCATTGTTATTTGATGTTTATCAATCAAACTCATATATAAATAAATAAATAAAATCGAAAAAAAATATAAAAACACAAGAACAAAAATTCATCATTCATTCATCTTACAAGAAATCATCTGAAACAACACCTTCAATATCGACGGCGCTGTAGTCTCTAATAGGGGTGGCAAAAACTGACCCGACCCGAAAATAGCGAGGTATGGATTGTGATTTTCGACCCGAAAACTTAAATGGGTTGACACGAACCGGACCCGAAATTAAATGGGTTAGGTTAAGGTTGAAAATGTCAACCCGAAAATGACCCACTTAACCCGAAAATATTTTCGGGTCAAAATTAGGTCGGGTCAACCCAAACCCGCCGAACCCGACCTTAAAAAAAATCTTTAAAAAAAAAAAAAAACAAAAAAAAAAAAACTAAGTCTACTACCAGCCCAAGGCCCCAAATCCCAAGCCCAAATCTTTAAACGGAAACCCTAACTCACTCTCACTCTCTCATCTAGCCGTTTTCACATTTTCTCTCCCTTTCTTCTCCTTATCTCTCTTCTCTTTCTCTCTCTTCATCCGTTCTCTTCTCCTTGTGTATCTCTCTTCAGACATTTTCTTCTCCTTCTCTATCTTCATCCGGAAAGCTTCAATTCATCCAGAAAATTCGAATTTGAACTTCTCTACTCTGATTTTTGTGATTTTTGTTCTTTATATTCGAATAATCCTTTCTTTTTTCATCCGAAAAGCCCCTTTTTCTCTCTCTTCACACGAGCAAGTCAGCAATGTCACGTGAGTAACCTAGCCACCGTCACTATCACAGCAAGCCCGGCCGGCCATTGTCACTGTCACCGTCTATTGTTGAGGTTTTTTTGTACTTTAGAACTAGTTTAAATTTAGGTTAGATTGTAGATCTAGTTTTATTTTTCTCAAATTTCTGATTATAATTATTTTTTGATGAAATTATAATGTAAGTATATAAATTTTGTTAGTGATAATCGCCTATTCTTTATCGATCTAGTTGTTCTGATTTTTTACATATTTTTTCCAGATTTTTTTATGCGATTTGTTTGTATTGTTTTCTTGGTTTTTTGTTTGAATTTTTTTTTTTTTTTCCTGGGTTTTATGTTTGATAGATTCTGAAGAATTCAAGGAATTTTGTGTATAATATGTTAAAAAAATTCGAACATAAAATCCAGAAAAAAAAAAAATAAAATAAAACAGGTCAAATCAAGTCATTTTCGGGTTGGGATTTTCAACCCGAAAACTTAAATGGATCAGGTTCGGGTTGGGGGTCACCTGACCCGAAACTAGGTGACCCGAACACGAACCCGACCCGACCTGATTCGTTTGCCACCCCTAGTCTCTAATCACCACCTTCATCATCGCCACCTCTGACGTCACCGCAGCAAGCCATCGCTGCATCCTCTTGCTGCGGTTTTCCTCTTTCTCTCGCTCTTTAACTCTCGGTCTCTCTCTCTCTCTTGAAGAAAAATTAAAGTTTAGATTTGATGGTTTAAGGGGCAAGTGGTTTGGTTTCAGGTAATTCTGGGTTGGGTTTTGTGGGTGGGTTTGGGTTTCGTAAGTGGTTATGGGTTGGGATTTGTGGGGGTGGGGGATTTCGTGGGTGGTTAGGGTTTCGGCGATGGTGGGTTTCAGCGATGATTTGGGTTTCGGCGTTGGTGGCGGACTGGTAGGTTTCGGTGATTGGTGGTGGACTGGTGGGTTTCAGCGATGGTGGGTTTTTGAGGGTGTCGGTAAGAGAGGCAGATGAGAGAAAGAGGCAGATGAGGAAATGAAAGAGAAAGAAAGAGGAGTATGTATGCAGACCGGGTTTTTTTTTTTTATTTAGCAATAGCTTTCGCACCGGTACTATACTTTACCGAACCGGTGCGAAAGACAAACTTTTCGCACTGGTTTGGTTAGAACGGTGCGAAAAACAAACTTTACCCACCGGTTTGGTTGGAACCGATGCGAAAACTCTATTTTCCAATCCCGCCTATTTTTTTTAGCACCGGTTTTCAGAAACCGGTGCGGATTGTGCGGTGCCTATTTCATTTTTCCTACTAGTGAAAGTCAAAAGGATCAGAAACTTTATTGAATTAGGTTTACCCTATTGCTAGTATCCCTTATTGTGGTTTAATCCACATCATTAACCCTCTCTCAATCTTACTCTAATCATCTTTTTCTTATACAAACCACCTATTTATATTATCTTTCTTATTTGTTATTCAACTTTATCTTACACTCACCTCAATATTTTCTTAAATTACATATCTATAGTACATAATAGACACAATAAAAGAACAGGAGAATATAATTAGAGATATTAATAATCAAAATTTTACATTGACAAACATAAAATAATTTAAAATGTCAATAACCTTTAAAAACAGATATAATTTTAATTTGAATACTATACATTGCGGTGTACTTTGCTTAAACAAAAACGAACATTTCATGATTCAAACTGAACATTTACATATACGAAAATGAATGTGTTCTAGGAACTCTGAAATAGAAAAAACTAAACATAGCTACGTAGTATATGTAATTTTTGGGTTACAAACAGCACTGCCTACACAAGTACCTGACTAGTCTTCCATATCGGCTCTTCACCAAAATGGAAAAAGCTAGTGAGAAATTGGTGAGTAGCTCTTTGGAGTGGCTTTTGGGCGGTTTTGGCTTTTAATCCAAAAAATTTGATCATTTCACAGTAATAAGTACTTCCTCTATTTTTTTTTATAGTTGCAACAGTTTAACTTTTACACTATTTATGTGTTCCACTTTCAATAGCTATGATGATTTATAGTTATGCAAAAATATAGTCATCTAAGATCTTGTTAGATTCGTCTTGATTTATACTATTTTAATATCAAATGTTCATAATTTTAACATTTTTTTTTTTTTTTGACAAAGAGAACTTCATAAATAAATAACAAATTACAACCTAAGAGTGATAAACAAAGAAACTAAAAACAATCAAGCACACATAGCTAAACACACAAAACACTCTAAGAAAAACCTTGTGTACTTCGGCAGAGCCGAAACGCCCAAACCAACCCACATACGGATATGCCACTTACCAATAGAGGAAATCCGAAGTGAATGAAAAGACCAGAGAAGCCTTGCAACATACCAAATACCATGAAGCCTGGACAACCAAAAGATTCTTACCAAAACCTTTATTTGGACCAAGAGTTGCCAGCTGAACCAAAACCCGCGAGATGGACCGAAATTGCAAGATGAAACTAACGGAGGGAACTGAAACTTGCACGAACACTTAAAGCAAATTTGCAGTGGGGGTTGTGAAAGCATCCTATTGCCGAAAAAAAGACCTGTTACACGACTCCACTCCTAGGGATCGAAAAGCATAACTACCTCCTAAGAGTCTACGAGCCAAACCAAGAGAGTCGAATGTTCTAACGACTCTACCATGAGAAACCTTGCACCAAAATGCAGGTTCCTTTCCTGCAATTCTACCAACAGAGAATGCATGAAAATAAAGGACTTTGCTTACCCCAAACATTAAGGATGGAGAGCCTCCTTCAAGATAGAAACTAACAACGATGACCGACTTTGTCATCACTAACATCGATAATGGGATGATATGATAATACCTGAATGGATACCTAAATCATCCCACAATCAAGAAGCAACCGGGAAAGCAAACATCCCTCTCCCCTCATAACCACCTTCTCCCCGCAAACTCGAAATACAGGGAAGAACTTTCACTTGCACAAATAAAGCCACCATGTGGAAAACAACACAGAGGTAACCACCTAGACTACTAAGACGGGGATCCACACATCCAATGTGAAAACCCCCCCTAACACAGTCCCACCTCGAACAGGAAACTAAAAGAACCACCAACCCGACAACCCAGGTACTACCAAACCGTAATACCTTATGAAACTCCAACTCAAAATCAAACAGAGCAAGAGTATTATTAAAAACTAAAAGCTAGAAACCTGAACAACAACACAAGCAAAATATTCAATAAAAACATAATTAAACCTTAACAAAACAAGAACAACTAAACTACAAACCAGAGCAAAGAAGACTTGCAAAACTCATAAGCAAATCGTGAGTCCATGAAGAGCAAAGATTGCCCAAAAACTACCTCACCGGCAGAACCAAACACCACCACCAGCCGTCAAGACCTACGCAAGAAGACCGCCTCCCTGAATAAGGGAAAAAAAACCCTGATCTTAACTTCACCTTCATCGTCGGGAAAACAATCAACAGAATTCCTTTCGATGGCGGCGTTAAGAATAACCTTGGCTCCTTGATTCGTTGAATGATTTTAACGACCCACCAAACTAGCTAGAAGACCACCGATGAGCCTGAAGGCAAACAAACAGCTCTACTCTTTCCTCTATTAATTGTCTCGCCGGCGATGGCAAGGAGGGAACGCCGATCCCAGCGAGCTGTGGGTGAGAAAAGGGGGATAAGGATGGGGGATAAGGATGGGTAATTAAAGATAATACAAATGAAATCATGCATCGGCAAACGTGAAAAGAGAAGTGTTACAACTAAAAAAAAAAAAAAACGGAGGAAGTACATTAACATCAATGAAAGGTCCAACGCCTAGTTTCAACAGAAACTTTAAAAAGAGGAAAAACAGCCAATGCCGTTGCCAACTTAAAACAACCAACAAAAACCAGTCTTAGTCTATCAGTCTGTAGCCAAACAAGGTCAATATCACACTTCTAGAACTGACACTGAGCATCCAACAATCAGCTCACAAACCAGTAACAAGATCAATGTTCATAAAATCATACTATTACATTTAATAATACATTGACATAAAAAAAGGAAGAGAAAAAAGGGAATCTTAAGCATTGATACAGATACAATGGATTTCACAAAGTCTTGCGAAAAAAACATTCAGCTGAAACGCCAATATGTTAACCTTACCTAAGATTTAATACAGCATATGCAACAAGTTTGCACAAAAACCAACAGCGTGCTTAATGAGTGCCACCAAGCTTTAATCATGTCCATCATCTTGGGTTATCCACAAAATTGTTGAGATATAGCTTTCTTCTTCATTTACTTACACTTCTGCCTTGCCCCAAGCTTCAACAGAAATGGCCTCAGAGCTTTATGAGTCCACAGAGGGAACCAGTCATAAGAAGGCAAGAAGCGTACTGTAATCAACAAAAACAGCAAACCTTTTTTATACTATAAAATCTAAAAGAACAATTTCGTTTTTACTTCAGGTCTCCATCATACTTGCTTGATCTTTCCCCTGGTATCCAGAGCTGGCTCCATAGTCCATATCCTATATACTCTAAGTTGATGCGCCTGACGCAAATGTTAAATGCCTCAATAACTTATATTGAAGTCCAGAACCTATACTCCTACTTTGAAGGAGTAAAATATATGTAATGGTACACTCTCGCACCTTTGAAACTTAAATTCTCTGAGAAAACTGCCAAGTACTCTTCCCCTTGTGTCAGGAAGATAAAAGCTTCCACAGATAAAACCAAAACAAACTTATATCGTCCACCCAACCTTGCAAACTTAAACCATACACAAGTTCCCTTAAAAAAACTACAAAGCACCTCTAAGTGGGCTTTTTCCTAGTCCACCAACGAAAGAAATGAAAATATGGTGGTAGAAAAATTACCAATTGGATACTACCTTCCATCGCCTATTAATAGATCTTCAATCAAGGACCAGCTTCATTAGTTGTCACACCATCACCCTGGGTTAATGAAATTGTAATTGGCTGCCATCCTGGTGTAGAGTGTTTGATCCACTGTTTTTTAGTAATTAACATGTTCAGTATCTGGAGCACATTCCCCAGAGATAAATCTTGCAGGCATGAATTTTTCAAGACTAATGCAGCTTCATACCTGACAGAATAAGTATAAGCTGATATTAATTTTTAAAAAGCCTTTGCTTATAACTGACAGAGAGAGTAACTATTACCTGCACACAGAAGCAATTATAGCGGATCGTCCTTTAGTAGAAATAAGAAACTCCCGAACTTTATCCCATGTTTCCTTAGAGTAGTCGTTAAGGTAGCCACTCATTGGATTTATACAATTCCATACCACTTGACTCTTTATAACATATAGCTGAACTTGACCCAGCTGTAGTTTATCTACCATGTTCTGTTTAATGGCACAGTCCAAGGCCTTCCTCACGTCAGTATTATGGTGCTTTGAATTATCTCCAAAACGGATACAATCAGTTATATTTTCCTCTGTGGGTGCAATATTTTCTTTTCTAAGGCTGTCTAAAGCAAGCAAGATAACCCCAGCAAGACCCTGCTCATATTCAGAGGGAGGTGATGCTGTGCCTGAAACAACGTTGGCAGTTGGCGAGGCTGAAGAAGTAGACGGAGGCACAGATAATTGTCCATTTCGGTGAGAGGAGTGGTTTGCGTTCATATTAGGGCCTTTGTTGGGTGGATTACGATTCACAGAACTCGAATACCTGTGCGATTTATGCTTAATCTCTCCCCTAGCTTGCTGTGGAAAACTAGAAGGATTTCGAGCATAATTAGGGTGTTCAGATATGCTTAGTTTACCAATATCAGGGGCACTAGTGAAAGGAGCTGATGAGATAGGCGGACCTTCAGATCTGGACATTGAAGGATGGGTATAGAAGTTGCTTGCAGCCGGCGGATATGCATTTCCAGCTGCGGAATTAGAATGTATAGGAGCACTGCTTGGCCTAGATGGATAGGGATATTGAACTCGTTGATTTGAGATGAAATCAGACTTACTCCTAGCAGAAGATTCAAGATTGCTAGGGAAGCCGCCGGAAGCAAACTGACCTGCAGAGGCAAAATGCTTGTTAGCACCAAAGAATTCATGTGGGGCTTTTCTAACTGTTGGTGCCTCAGTATGCTCCAACTGGCAAGGGTAGTCTACTTTCTTACTTTCTAGAACCCCGGAAGGCATGCTAGGGGCCTTTTGAAGACTTGACTGGTTTGAGGTCTTGCGGACATACGTAGGTTTAGATTTAGTATCTCCTGCCCCAATTCTCCCACAGTTGTCAAATTTCGAAGTAGCAATGGGATGTTTGGCATGTAAATGAACAGGTTCGGGAATAAGGTGATTATCGGGCATTTGGGGGTTGAAGTAATTATTGTTATTAGTAGAATCATAATTACCATTGTTGGGTGGAGGGGAGTCATTTCCGGTACGAGGAGGGCCACCATCTACCAGACTAGTCCACAACCACACACTTTTAGCTGCAGCAACAAGGGCGGCAGAGGCTTTAAAGGGTTGGGCAAGAAGAATATTGTATCTTCTCATACGCAGCTGGTGGAGGGCATTTGCAAAATCACGATCGCCAGAAATTAAGAGGTAATTAGCAGGGGCAGGGTTGTCAACAGCCCAGAAGAGCATATCAACTAGAATCTTCTTGTCACTGGCATCTTTAACACCTGGTGAAAGTTGTAAACAGAACCCAGAAATAGAAGGCGAAAATCAGAAAAGAATATTCAGAGCAAGAAGGTGAAAAGGCAGAGAAAAAGAATTTGTATAATTGCTGCAGCGTTTAAATGCTACACTTGAGAGTATGAGTCCCGGGAGGCAGGTGGAGACCCAGCCCCCACGGCTCAGCTCCGAAGCCTTAACACTGTCTGAATCAGCCCCTAAAAATTAGATATATACATTTTCTGCAATTAATGTGCAAGAGAGGCATGTTGTCTCAGTAGTTATGAACTTATGGAAGAGTAATCTACTTGTCATGCTGTACAGTACTTTGTGTTTTTCTTAAAAATGATTTTCCCCATTTATCCTCTTCATAAAGTAGCAAATTTATTTGCCCCATACCAAATTAGTAGAGCAATTAACTTGTGTTTATTAGCTCACTACATTCATTCTAATAATTCATTAATTTTTGGATCAACTGATAAATTCTCAATGGTAATACCTAACTTTTACTATACTAAAATGGTAATACCTTTTTTTCTATATTCACAAAATGACCCTAATTCAGTTTTCATTCCCACTTATGAGTGTTTTATCTTAAAATTTTGGTTAACAAACTATGGTTAGATTTTTTTTTAAAAAACAAAAAAAAAAAAAAAAAAAAAAAAAAAACATCCCCCACCCATGTCTATCCTCTTCCCCAACCTGGCCACCATTTAATCCACCCACACCGGTGGCGACTGCAACCCACAACCATAGCCAAGAACCTAACATGCTCCTCTTGACGAACCACCCCGTCCCAACCACCCCAACGAACCCCTCTTGCTCCTCTCCTCTTTCACGGCCATCTCTCTTATTCTCCCTAACTCTTCGCCTCACTCTCTATCCTCCATGCCACCGATAGCTGCACGACCCCTTTAACCTTCTCCCTCCAACAACTTCCTCCACAACCTTAATCGAAGCTTCGATTTTTGGAATTATGGTGTTGATGCCAAGGAAAAGAGGTCAGGGTTGTTGTTGGCAAGGAGATGAAGGTGCTAGGTAGGAGATCGAGGGAGTTGGAGTGGTGTAGGATAAGGCTGGTGTGGTAAAGGATTAGGTTACCCATAGTTAACATATTAATGAAAACTAATCCATTGAAGCCTCATTGATGTCATTTGCGGGATTAAAAACTTAATTAGGGTCATTTTGTGAATTTTATTTTTAAAAAAGAAGGGTTACCATTTCATTGTAGCAAAAATTAGAGGATACCACATCATTTTACCCAGTTTAGCTTTTCTAGAAACCCCAATTTAGCACAATTAGCACTACATAGTACATATTATATAAGGCATCAAGAATTATAATTCGAAGAAAATAATTTTACACCTATATTCTTCTAAATATTTATTATCATTAATATAATAGTATGAGAGCTGCAAAATGTTTTCATTACAGCACGATGTTAATTTTGACCATAATTACATGTTCTTTAAAAGAATAATTTTGTTCTATCTCCTATATCAACAAGTATGTTATTAAGGGACACATGATGCACATCAAGCCTCAGCCTGGAAGATCTACTTTCGCGTAAAGGTGGAGCACAATAATTGCAAAGATAATAATTAATTAAAAAAAAAAAAAAGGGAAAACAAAACATGGATTTAGGAAATTAGGAATAATAAACAAATATTAAGTCTGAAAACAAAACAAGGGTTTAGGAAATTAGGAATGATAAATAAGTCGGAAAACAAAACAAGTGTTTAGGAAATTAGGAATGACAAATATTAAGTCTGAAAACAAAACAAGGGTTTAGGAAATTAGGAATGATAAATAAGTCGGAAAACAAAACAAGGGTTTAGGAAATTAGGAATGATAAACAAGTCGGAAAACAAAGAAGGGGCATGCAAAGAATTCAGCAATAATTTAAAAAAAAAAAAGTAAAATAGAAAATTGAGAAGAAAGAAAAGAATCTCGAAAAGGAGAAATACCAGCAGGAACGTGATTGAGGGAGATGCCGGTGGAGGAGAGGGCGTGTTGAATGGAAGAAGGAATACGGTTGGTGTCGCCGTAAGCAGAAATGGAAACGGAACCGCCGTAATCCAATTTGATAAGTGCAGAAGTAATGTTTTGTGCAATTGAATGTGGATCGCATCCTTTAGGAACTTGACAATTTTCAATATCCCACCAAACCGACGTCTTCGCCTTTCTGTAATCGGAATCGGCTCTGTTATTCATCAACTGATCCGCCCCCTCCTCTCCGCCCATCGAATCGAATCACTGTAATCTCTACTAGGGTGAACTGCTGAAGGGGGTTTGTTTCCTTTGCTAAATTAAAATACTGCTACGAGAGAGAATAGTCTACTGACTCTTTGAATTTAAATTTGTGAATGAATGGATTGGAATGGATTCTCTCAGACGACTCCGGTCTTCTTTCGACTTTGACATCCTGACGTGCTCTTTGGATTTCGATTGCCCGGTTTGCCCCTCTATTATGTCTTCGCCCTTTCCTTCGCTCTATGGTCTATACTCAGTCATACTCTTCGCCTTCTACACACCCGCCCCGTGGGCCCACTACTACTGCCCCCACACGCTTTAATTATTCATTTCTACATTTGTTTTATTATTATAATATAATAACTAGTATAGTACCCAACTCAGACCCGGTTAGACCCAACCCATATTTTAGGGATGACAATAGGTCCGGGACCTGAGTACCTAACCTCCCCCAAGTTAGACCCAACCCATATTTTAGGATCTGGGTCCTAAATGGATTCGGGTCTCTTTTTCTTATTTTACCACTATCTTCCTTTTATTGGTAGAGTGTTGTGCACAACTTGATCCACCTTCGATCTCAACAGACGTAGCATTCTCAAAATAAGAGGTCTTTTTGTTGGAGTGATTAATAAAAACACTTAGATCCCCATTATCACAAATCAAAGATGTAGATTCCTACAATAAAAATTTCAAGATTTTCTTAATTAGTACAATAATCAGCTATTTTTAAGCAACATCATATGCTTAATTATGTAGCAACTCTTTATATGAAAAATCTACCTTTTTTTTTCCAGACAAATCTTCTATTGATTTACTGGAAGACTCAACATTAACATCATCTTCCTTAAATAAAAATGAATAAAATGCATTACAACAATTAGTTTAGTTTTAATACTTTTTTATTTTTTTTTTACATTGTTACGTTAATGATGTAGTTCTTAAAGCTCAAATGCTATACTCATATTTTGTTGGAACAAAGTTGTTTTAAGTGTAAATTTGTGAAAATGGTAAACTCCCACATTGGTGGGAAGTGAGAATGTTGCTTGGTTTATATAGGTATGTGTCTTCTAAAGGGGTGTGGCCCTTGGGCTACCCACATTTTGTGGAGAGGAAGGACTTACCTACCAAACCAATATAACACACGCGCGCCGAATTGAACCGGACCGGGCCGGGTTGGGTTGGATTTCTTAAACTGATTTAAATTTTTTGAACAAGGATTAATTCCTTGATTTTGTAACAGATTTACTAATTAATTTTTTGGCCGTTACGTTTTGACTGTTTTTACAACGGTTAATTAAGGTTTTGATTATGTCCGTTAATTGCGTGATTTTTGCTGTTCGAAAACTGTCCAGGTTCACTTTGCTAACCAATATAAATTGGTGATCTTCCTTCACGGTTTAACACACAACCACAACCAGAAAAACAATTTCAAAGAGTTTTACAGAAAAACATAAAAAACCCGCTTATAGTTTATTCTTCAGAAATTATTCGAGCATTGTTCCTAATATTGGTGTTTAGTTGTCCGGTGGTTCTGTGCAAATCCATCGGTTTAATTTTCTTTTCCGAAAGACTGTTTTATCCTGGGGAGCATCCGGTTATTGTACGAGCTGCTTGCACACATCGAAGGCAGTACCGTGAATGTTCTAAAGACAGCGACATAGTCCGCGACTCAGTCTTATCCCGGTAACCTTGTTCTATTTTATTGTTTGCAGCAGTTTGGTTTATAACAATTTTAGAACAATCTTTTCTGCCTTTATAATCATCATGTCTACCGAGGAATTGACTATGTCCAATGACCTAAACAAACCCTTTCGTTTTGAGGGTGCCCACTTTAAAAGGTGGAAACAGAAAATGCAATTTTTCCTCACTGTTAAGAAAGTTCATTCTGCCTTGACTGTCCCTAGGCCCGTTGTTCCTGATAACGTTGAACAAGATGACCTAGTATATTGGAATTATGAAATTGAAACTTGGAATGAAACCGATTTTATGTGCAAAAACTATATTCTTAATGGTCTGTCTGATAACCTGTATGACTATTATAATCTGGAAAACACTGCTAAGGATTTGTGGGATGCCCTACAAAAGAAATATGACCCGAAGAAGCCGGTACCAAAAAGTATGCAGTCAGCAGGTACTTGAAATTTCAGATGACTGATGATAAGTCCGTGGAAGTGCAGTCCCACGAACTTCAGAAAATTGCTCATGAGATAATTTCCGAAGGTATGGCTCTTGATGAACAATTTCAAATTGCTGTTATTATTGACAAGTTGCCTCCTTCTTGGAAAGATTTCAAAAACAGTCTCAGGCACAAGACTAAGGAATTCTCCTTAGAGAGTTTGATCACTCGGCTCCGTATAGAGGAAGAATCCAGGAAACAGGACCAGAAAGAAGAAGTCTTACAGCTCACTGCAAACAATGCTCCTAAGCGATCTGCTGCAGTTCTCAAGCCTGCTGGTAAGAACTTCAAGGCTCAGAACCGGAAGAATAACTTCAACAAAAATAAATCGAATGTTCAAAAGAACAATGGAAAGCAACAGATTCAACCCCGTAAGAGTGGTACTGGTCAATTTCTATGCTATAGGTGTGGAAAACCAGGCCATATGGCACGAAAGTGCAGGAACATGCCTAACCCTGTACCACAGGCTAGCATGATAGAAGAGCCACTCGTGGCTATGATTACTGAGATCAACCTTGTTGGTGGATCAGAAGGGTGGTGGGTAGACACTGGCGCTACACGCCATGTCTGCTATGATCGTCGGATGTTTAAAACATATTCTCAAAACACCGATGATAAGAAAGTGCTGTTGGGTGATTCCCATTCCACTAATGTTGCTGGTGTTGGTAATGTTGAGTTGAAGTTTACTTCTGGCAGGACTCTCATTCTGAAGGATGTACTGCACACTCCGGAAATGAGAAAGAATTTAGTTTCTGGTTTTCTTCTTAATAAGGCTGGTTTTACACAAACCATAGGTTCTGATTTATTTACTTTAACTAAGAATGGAATGTTTGTAGGAAAAGGTTATGCTACTGATGGCATGTTTAAACTGAATGTTGAGATTAATAAAATTTCTGATTCTGCTTATATGTTGTCTTCTTCTGTTAATATTTGGCATGCTAGACTTTGTCATGTGAACAAAAGACTCATAAAAAATATGAGCAATTTAGGCCTTATTCCTAATATTTCTCTCAATGACTTTGATAAATGTGATTTTTGTAGTCAGGCTAAGATTACAAAAACACCTCATAAGTCTGTTGTTAGAAACTCAGAACCGTTAGATTTGATTCATTCTGATATTTGTGAATATAATGGAACGCTGACCAGAAATGGACAACGATATTTTATCACCTTTATTGATGATTGTTCTGATTATACTCGTGTTTATTTGATGAAAAATAAGAGTGATGCTTTTGATATGTTTAAGTTGTTTGTGACAGAGTTTGAGAATCAGTTCAACAAGCAAATAAAAAGGTTACGTAGTGATCGTGGAACTGAGTATGATACTGATGCTTTTGTAGAGTTTTATAATTCACATGGTATCATACATGAAAGGTTAGCTCCTTATTCTCCAGAAATGAATGGTAAGGCTGAAAGGAAAAATAGAACCTTTACTGAGTTAGTAGTTGCTATTTCCTTAAATTCTGGTGCTGCTGATCATTGGTGGGGAGAAATTCTTCTCACTGTTTGTTATGTCTTGAATCGTATTCCAAAGACTAAGAGTAAGGTTTCTCCTTATGAATTACTTCGTAACAAACAACCTAATATTTCTTATTTCAGAACTTGGGGTTGTGTGGCATATGTTAGGATTCCTGATCCTAAAAGAGTTAAGTTAGCTAGTAGAGCTTATGAATGTGTATTCATTGGCTATGCTGTTAATAGTAAAGCATATAGATTCTTTGATTTAAATGCACGAGTAATTATTGAATCTAATGATGCTGATTTTTATGAGGACAGGGTTCCTTTCAAATCCAGAAATAGTGGGGGTTCGTCCTCTTGGGGTTCGTCCTCTTCTATTATTCCTGTAGTCAGGTCTAACTCACAAGACTTGAATGCTGAACCCGAACTAAGAAGGAGCAAACGGGCTAGAGTAGCAAAAGACTTTGGCCCGGACTTTGAAGTTCTCAATGTAGAGGAGGATCCTTCTACCCTCCAAGAAGCCCTAGCCTCAGTTGATGCAGATTTATGGCAAGAAGCCGTAAATGATGAAATGGACTCACTTGAGTCTAATCGAACTTGGCATCTGACTGAGTTGCCACCAGGTTGCAAAACAATTGGCTGTAAATGGGTCCTAAAAAGAAAGCTGAAAGTTGATGGGACCGTTGATAAGTATAAAGCTCGTTTAGTAGCTAAAGGCTACAGACAAAGGGAGAATGTTGATTTCTTTGATACTTATTCACCTGTTACTAGAATAACTTCTATTAGAGTGCTAATGTCTCTTGCTTCTGTTTTTAATCTTGTAGTACATCAGATGGATGTAAAGAAAGCATTCTTGAATGGTGAATTGGAAGAAGAAATCTACATGGATCAACCAGAGGGCTTTGTCATCCCAGGGAAAGAACATCTGGTATGTAAATTAGATAAGTCTCTTTATGGTCTCAAACAAGCACCTAAACAATGGCATGAAAAATTTGATAACTTAGTCATTTCACATGGTTTTAAGATAAATGGTAGTGACAAATGCATATATGTAAAATTTGAGAATGACATTTGCACTATAATTTGTCTGTATGTGGATGACTTGTTAATTTTTGGCTCAAATATTCACGTTGTGAATAATGTGAAGCTATTGTTAAATGCTGAGTTTGATATGAAAGATCTAGGAGAGGCGAATGTAATCCTTGGGATTAAGATTACTAGGACTGAAAATGGAGTTTCTTTGGATCAGTCTCATTACATTGAGAAAATCCTAAAGAAATATGGTTACTTTGACTGTAAACCTGCTAGTACACCTTATGGTCCCAGTGTAAAGTTATTTAAGAACACTGGTGAAGCCGTTAGGCAATCTGATTATGCAAGCGTCATTGGCAGCCTTCGGTATGCCACTGATTGTACTAGACCCGACATTGCCTATGTCGTGGGATTATTAGGCAGGTTTACTAGTTGTCCTGGTAATGAGCATTGGCATGATATTGAAAGGGTCATGAGATACCTTAAGAGGACCATGAACCTAGGATTACATTATGAGAGGTTTCCAGCTGTACTAGAAGGCTATAATGATGCCGACTGGAACACCTTATCAGATGACTCTAAGGCTAC